GTGGCCTCCCAAAGTGCTGGGATTATAGGCGTGAGCCACAGTGCCCAGCTTAAACTATATATTCTGAGGAGAGGGACTGAACCCTACAGAGTTCTCGTAATACAGAATCTTGGATACAATTAAGCACTAGGTCCATAGTGCTGTTCTTTCTTTGTTTCCTTCCTTCCTTCCTTTTTTTTCTTTTCTTTCTCTCTCTCCTTCCTTCCTTGTCTCTCTCCTTCCTTCCTTCTTTTTCTTTCTCTTTCTTCTTTTCTTTTTCTTTCTTTCTTTTATTGGTTGTTTTTTGGCTAAAAATTAGACTAGAAAAAATTATTTCCTCTAAAAACAGGTATATTATTAGCCCATAACACAGCATATTTTTCTGCTGGTTTTACAGATAGCTAATTGCCCTTACTAAACATCAAATTTCCTATGGAATTTTTACATATACTTCATGTTATTCCTGTAGAAAGAAACAAAAACGTGTAGTTGGTCTGTAAGACCATTACCAAAGCAAACCAGACTGAAAAGAGCATTCATCCCTTTTGCTACAGTTGTGACACATGACTGCATCTTGCAACCAGGACCCCTCAACACCTGGATGTACAGAGCCTCCACTGAACTAACATCACCACATTTGCAGTCTTGATTTAATTTCAACTGACAGAACTAGCTGGCATTTGCCTCGAAATGCCAGTAATGGCTTTCCAGTGTAACTTGGTGATTCTTGTCTGTCAAAAACTTTACAGTCAGTCCTGGTTACCTTAGAGATGCCTTATCTCCCAATGCACCTTTAGGGAATGGCACCCTGCTCATTGCTTCTGTTTAGCCAAGTCCAGAGGATGTGAGCATGGTTCCCACTGACAAGACACAGTTTGCTGGAGTTAAAACAAACTACAAAACACAGCCTGTGCAGGATATGGGGGCCACATTTTTATATCTCAATTTAGAAAGTAAGAGAAATTAATTCTATAGATTGGTAGCAATTAAGGAAAAGCCATGTTGCTGTTTTACTTTATAAGTTAGGTCAGTTTTGCTGTTTCCCTAGTTCCTTTTTACTTAGCTTTGTCAAGGTATAGCAAGGACAGCTGTCTGGGCTTTGCACCAGTGAACTTTCATGAACACCACTCACTCCATGGCATCAACTGGTTTTGTGCCTCAGGGAGGGCAGGAGATGTACGAGAAAGGACAAAGGCGGATATCGCAAAGACTTTTTGAAAGACTTAACATGACAATTTTTTTTTCACTTTATAAAATACTGATTTTTTAAAAGAACATATTTTATTAGAGTCAATCTCACCATTTTTTGTCATAAAGATTAATATTTTCTCTACCTCAAGTTTTTGCATACTTATTTAGTCAATTCCACTATTTTGCTTGAAGTGAACCTTCTATCATATTTTTCTAGATTATGTAAGTGAGCTGATTATGCAACTAAGAGTGTGGTATATATAAGAATTATTATAGGATCAACATTTTTTACATGTGACAGCTCTGGTTGTTTGTGGAGTAACAAAGGGAACATGAAAAAAAATGCTTGGGCCTGCCCTGCATTCAAGTTTATCATTCCTACACTTCATTTAAACGCCTAAATTTAATCCCTTTTACAAATAGGCGTGGGTCCTTAGTCTAGATAAAAAAGGAAATTAGATTTCAATTTAAAACAAAGCTACAAACAGTGGAAAACCAGAAAACACTAAAATAAGACACTGGCTAAATTACTACAACAAAATCTCACTTCTTAAAAATCCACTAGGCAGGAATGTGTGGCAGTACGGAAAGGCAGAAGACTGAAGCGCACCTTTGATCTAGTTGTGTAAGAGCTTGCTAAATCAGTTACTACTGGAAAACATACTTCAGAGAGAAGGCTGAAACTTCTAGAGACTGTTTCTAGTATCCTTAATTGCAGACATTCATAATACTGAACGATATCCTAGTTATAAATAATTCTTATCCATAACTTAAATCCATCTTGAGGCTCTACTAAGTAAATCTTCCTTAACCTACTTAGATGTGCAGTAGTGATGAAAGTAGCGTTTTGTTTTGTTTTGTTTTGTTTGAGACGGAGTCTCGCAGTCTTGCTCCGCCACCAGGCTGGAGTGCAGTGGCGCGATTTCGGCTCACTGCAACCTCCGCCTCTTGGGTTCAAGCTATTCTCCTGTCTCAGCCTCCCAAGAGCTGGGACTACAGGCGTGCGCCACCATGCCCAGCTGATGCTTTTGTATTTTTAGTAGAGATGGGATTTCACCATGTTGGACAGGATAGTCTCAATCTCTTGACCTCGTGATCTCTGTGCTGGGATTACAGGCGTGAGCCACCGCGCCTGGCCTTAAGCCTCTTTCTTTAAGGCCCAAGGGCATATTTTCACACTGCAGTGCATCACAACCGTTTTGATTCTTCAGGTGTTCCTTTCTTCTGGTCTCCAGCCACCCAACCTAGCCTGCCAGGTACTTCTGATTAATTATACATAAGATTTATCCAAGCCACCCCCTCCCTGTCTCTACCAACTGGACTTCAATCTCTTCAGTTCCTGCTAGAATGCACCTCCTACCTGAAGTCTCCCCTCATCAATGCCCTCCACGATCAGCCTTTGACTTTGGAATCCCTTAATACATTCCTCAGATCGTTAAGAGGTTTTCTGAGTCATCATCTGAGATTTTTCATTAAAATTGTGGAGTTTGAACAGCCAGTCCTGAGCTGTCGGACTCAGTTCCAAATAAAAGTCCTAGTTAAAGACACAAGAACAAGAAGATGGGTTAGCTGCGGCTCGAAGGGCTGGTGAGCGCGACCACAGGGCAGCTTGCGGACGTTTCTTTCGGACAGGACAAGGGCGAGGGAAATGGGAGGATGGTGACGCACCTGAGTGCGTCCACTAGACGAAAGAAGACCAACTAAGCCTTCGTGTAGTGCGTAGAGAGGCCGACACACACACACACTAACACACACGCAAAGACCAGAGAGGGAGCGAAAGGCGTAGCCCCAGGTACCTGACAATGACACGGCCCCGATCCGGACGCGGGCTTAAAGCCCCCAGACTTCCGGAGTGCCCCCCTCCCCGGCCACCTCCGGAGATTACAGCTGGCGCATCTCTCCGCCCTGCCCGGCTCGGACGCCCTCCCCTCCC